CCAGAATATTTCTTATGATCCAAGACCTCTTACTCATAACAGCAGACTAATATATACCTTATCTTCCCACTCCTCTTCAGTGCATGGAGATTGGAGAGACAAAATTCCTGGTATTTTTGTACTCCATATGTAGCTTGGCTTTGAATTGTTACTGCATGATTCCCACTTTCAGACTTTGGCTTGAAGTGCAAGTCTGCCACAAGGATGTGCCATGTAGCCTGGGAAGAAAACCAGCAGATCTTTTATCATTATTGCCTTGTCTGTCTGGGTCACAGAGAAGCAATAGCCGCAGTTCAAGACTATGTTCAAAGGAGAGATGTCAGGACTGAATTGCTTTCTGGTGAAGGAAGGCTGGATAAAATATTAAATGCAATCTTCTGTTTGCCCTTATCTTTGTGTTTCCTGACAAGAATATCGTACTGTATTTCCATGGTTCTAGAATTCAAAGCTGAAGGTATACAGATTCGTGAAAAACTGATTTAATTCTTCGACAGTAGAAATCGTTATTATTTTAAAAGTGTAGGTTTTCTATTACATGTGCTTTCTTATGTGAAAGCACTTCTATCTCGAGCAAGGAACAGCACATTTTTGAGAGTTACTCAGTTTAATTTTCATACACCTGCTGCTGTAATTATTATAATTTAATGCACAAAGACATTTTTACTTTCTGAGCAGTAGGGGAGTTTGTCCATGAAAATTTCAGAAGAGGTGTGTCTGTCTCTCTCAGGCCTCGTTCCCAGTAGCCTTTAAACCTTTCGGGAAATACTGACCAAATCTGGGGGGTGGGAGCAGCAGAAGGGGGACAAAAGTAGGAAGGAGCTTGAGATTTTAAGTCCCTACCACTTCCACGTGAACCATTGGCTTGGGTACAGGAAAGAGAGACGTGCTGGTCTCGCCAGCAAAGAAGAGGCTGCAGCGTGAGCTCAGCAAGCTTTGGGGTAAGTTTGGCTGGGGGGCCCCGTGTCTACTGGGTGGCTGATGAGCAGAGGCAGCCTGGTGGGGTCCGCCACCCCGTGGGACGATGCTTGCCGAGCTGGTAAGTGAGGACGGGAGGAGAGCCAACCGTGGAGTAGTTCTGCGACCGTTTTGAAAAAGGTGAAGGTTTGGGAAGCGGGGGGAGTTTGTGAGAGGTGGGGGGTAGAAGAGCAGACTGACAATATTTGTGGAGGAGGTGAGAGGTGATGAACGCTCTGTAGAGGAGCCGGGTTTGTCGTGGTAAGCAGTACCAGAGAAATGTGACACATCTGTCAGAAATGAGGCTTCATTAGCTTCTCTGCGCACATGGGACTATTTGTTTTAATTTCTACCCTATCACAGTGAGAGCGTGTTTCTTTAGCAGATTGTTGTGTATTTACCTAGTGATCTACCGAGTCTTTGGTCAGTGTTTTATTTTGAACCAGTTTTATTCCGCTTTTCCAACAGCACGAGTTGTCTCATAGAGGACAGTCACGAAAATCATGAGATGGGTGGCCCAAATCTTGTGTCACATCTGACATAAATTCAGAATTGCTTCAAAACGTGCATACTGAACCAATAATTACTCTTATTCTTCTTCTTAAGCCGTAATTTCAAGCTAGGTATCTTCCAACAGTTGAATTAAGCTTGACAGTCCAACCCTGTTATTTAAAATACTGTAAGCTATATATACATCAGCTGCGCGTATCTGAAGTGCATTGAAGTCCATTAAAGTAGATGGACTCTTGACTGTTTCAGTGGGTCTTGGGTTACAGGTTAACAGAGAGCATGGCACCATGGTGTTTTTGCAAATTCCTGCATTTGATTTTCTGTGAATTGATTTTTGTCTTCAGCCCCAGCTGGGAGTGGGTGTTGTATGGGGGTCTCAGGAAAGCCCCATTGTGGCCCACCTCTCTGTAGCCCCATGAGGAACAGGTGAAGCACAAAATAATTGGTTTGCTCTCTGCTGTCTTTCTTGCTGTCCTGTGGGATTTGCAGCTGCCAAGTTCAAGGCAGTCACCGGTTGCCTTGGTGTGTTACAAGAAAGTAGGATTGAAGCAGCAAGGGAGAAGAGGCAGTGGGGAAAAGGAGAGGACAAGATGGAAGGGGATAAGAAGTCACTAGAGCTCATGTATGTAAGCAATCTCAAAATGAAATGGGGGAAAGAGTGCATATATAAATAAAATGTTTTTTTCTGGTCTGGAACATCTTAAATTCCCTTAAATTATAAATAGAAGTTCAATGATACAAAAGCTAGTACTGGTATATATTTGAGGGGTGCGATTTGGTAATAGCTTGGGTGTGGCAGGCCAGGAAATAAAGGATGTAAACAATTTACAACCATTTATTTTTTTATTAGAGCTTTTATCTTTGTAACTCTTATTAGTTGCCATAGATACAGACAACACAGGGCTTGTTTGGGTTAATGAAAAGTCTGTCATGCTGATGATAAATGGTGATTTTTCTTGAGAAAAATCTGCATTACTTCAATTCCACTATTCTTGGCAATTAATTTTAACTATGCTTGCATTCATGTATATAATTAAAAAATTGTGGCATTTAGTAGTCTACATTTTTTATATAGCATCTGCAGAATAATTTTGAGTACAATGCAGTACCAAACAAATTGGTCTTTAATTTAAATTAGAGATCATATTGACAGATACAAATTACTGTTGTCAGTTTACAGATGTGCTTCTGTACTTTTTCTAAAATCATTCTTGGGATTTTTTTCCACCTTGTAAAACAATTACAGAACACTACCAGGTAACTGATCGGCTCACAAGTGTGGTTCTGAATGTGCACAGCTTAATGTCATGTTATGATGTTGCATTAAGTATATGCTCTTCCTACATAAAAGTTCAGTATTTCAAGTGATAAATCCAACGAATGACTTACCACATCTTAATTCCAGCTACTCTGTCCAAAGAGAAAGCAGTTATTTGCTGTAAATGTACCTCAGTTGATTCAAGAAAAGGTTTTATATGAAGAAAAAATTTTTAAAATCAAGTAGCTTTTCTATTAATATTTGATAAATGTGTGCAGGATGGTTCTAGTCCAGTAGGCTATGGACAGGATTTTTTAATGAGTTTAAGGTGGCCACATTTCTTACAAGTGTGTTTGTCACTGTTCAGGAACTGTAGTCAGGATGAATCTGAAATAAATATTACTTGGGGCAGGGGGGAGAGATGCACCATGTGGGGAACCGAGAAGAAAGAAAAATATTTTTTAATCAGCTTGATTTAAAATAAATGCATAGACAGGGGTTTCTTGGAGGGTTGGAAATGGTGGCAACAGCCCTGGCAAAGTGGATGTATGGTCAGAGTGCAGGCAAGAGGCAGCTTAAGGCAGGTCATCGTTCCAGACCTGTGGAAAGAGTACGAGTTTAAATGACGCTATTTCTTTTAGGAATGCAAAGCGTTTTGGTGTAAAGGCTGAATTCAGAGCACTGCTAAATAAATGGATTGTGCACTGGGGATGTGTCTGGCTTCAGCATGGATGAGCAACCCTTGCAGCTGCAGCACATGCTTTTCCTATGAGCAGTGAGGTTAGGTGGTAAATCAATTAATCTATTAACAAAAACTACTCCATACTGGAGAACAGAATCCCTCAGATCAAATGCTCATGGTGCTCAAATGTTATGGGCTTCTCCCTCTCTTGCCTGCAAGCTTAGCCACATTCATTTCACTACATTAAGCCTTTTGTGTTTGTGGTTACAAGAGAATAGGATTTGCCCCACTACTGTAATTTAATGATCAGGTATAGGAGAAATAACTTGAATGGTATAGTTCTGCAAGGAGTCTGACTGCTGGTACACAGAGGGAAAAGCAACAGACAAAACAGGGGCACGTCTTACTCGCAATATACCATATATGTTTCCCCTACAATCTTTCAGTAGTAAAATTGTGCTTAACTGTATTTTTAATGGCCAGAATCAAGATCCTAGAATAAGTATTTCCTGGGGAAAGAAAGGTAGGTTATTAAGAGCAGCACTAAGTAAATTTGGGATTTTAAAAGTATTGAAAACTTTGCCAGATGTCTTACAGGTTTGAAAAAGAATTTAAATCTTTTTTAGAGATTAAAACTGTTTTTCTAAGTTAGACCAGTTTATTTTGCCAGAAATCAATTGGAATTAATAAAATTAATAAAAACATTTTTTTCATCCTAAGGGTGAAAAAAGGGTTGAATTTGTGCATGTGTTTCAGTTTTAAACTCAACAAGACTGCAGAGAGTCTGTAATTACGTCCTTTCAATTTCTAGATATTCAGATCATAGTGTTCTCGGGGCCAGTTTGTGAATTTTCTATCTACGCAGAAAGCTAGGATGAGGTATTCAGTAATTCAGTACCTTTGAACCAATTTAAACAAACAGACAAAAAATTTAACATAGCTTTAGAAAATTGTATACTAATGTTTGTCTTTATCATCTCACAATGTCTGAGTCTTTGTGATTTTTCTTTTTAATTTTTCCACCTCTCAGCTGAGCTGGTTGTGTACTCGAGCAAGATTGTTCAGTATCTCACCACACTAAGCCTTTCTCTTCAGTAGACCCAGAGGAGAGAACTGGGGTCCCCATGGGACTTGCAGCTGCAGAGGTTATTGCAGCAGCAACATCCTTACACACCACTCACCTTTTTCCAGTCCTAGAGTAGGATGGTGCACACATTTGAGATACTAAAGATGGCTTTATCTGCTGCGAATAGTTTTGTCCTTAAAAGGCTTCTGAAATTAAACTGGTCAAATATGTCTACGGTTAACATGACCGCAGCAGGAGAATTAGTCAGACGTGTTTGTCCCGAGTTGTAAATGAACAAGGTCTAGCCTCACGTGTGTTTTCACTTGAGTTTCTTTACTCAGGTTAACTTGGTGAGACTCAGAAGAATAGAAAATAAAAGAAAAAAAAAAAGTAATACTTTCAGAATTAGGCTCATAATAATCCATTTAAGATGTTTAAAATAATCCAGCAGTTAGTAGTTGTAAACCTGAGAGTACGAGGAAACTCTTTCCTGTTGCAGGACTTCTGACTTTGCTGTGTTTTCTTTGTAGGGTCTCGGTATGTCTGGTGGAAGTCAGGCTGGCTTGGGGACTCCTTCATCCAGGCAGTATGCACGACAGAAAATAACGCGCGTAAACCTCAGGGACTTCATCTTCTACATGGAACAGGAAAGAGAAACGAGCCATTCTCTCCTGCTCTATCGAGCTCTGCTTAAATAAAGCCAAGAATTGTACTGATTTCTCCATACAGAAGCTCAACTTGCATTGAAAAGCTGTCATTTTAATGTGCCTTCTATTTTTTTCAGAAGTCAATGTTTCAGTAATTTTGTTTTGTAAAATTGTCAGACACATGCAATAAATTCCCTTTATGTAAAAAAAAAAAAAATCACAAAAAACAGAAAAAAATGTGCAAAAGGTTTCAAAATGTTAAATCCACAGACACAACCAACATCAAAGTCTTGCTCCATTTGGCCATTTTAGATAAGGCTGAAGTAGATGGCGTGGAAGTTACACAAATGGAAAGACTGCTGCAATGGCTCACGTAAACTATCTCACGGCAAGGAGGATTGGGACAGGTTCACAGGATTGGGACCTAACCATGGTGTTAACCTGTATGTTCACTTACGGTGCTGGTTTTGTTTTCTTCTTCGTTTTACTAGCGCTGTTTCCACTGACTAACCATTGTGATACCTGTTGTTATTTTAGATTAGTTATATTGCAGTTTTTTGCACAGCTAAGAGAATCGCCACTCCACACTCTCACAAATTTTATATATTTAGGATTTCTGCTTTTACTGCACAGCTCATTTCCCGAGCCATTTGCTGAACCAAATCCTAAGTGTATGAAATCTGTGCGTTTGGGTCCCAGCTGAGTTACCTTGACTAGCTTCCAGTTGTTTTCTAAATCTCTTCAACCTTTTGCACATTTGTAGCAACTGGTTAGTAACATGAATCAAAGTTGGGGTTTATTTTCTAAAAAATATCTTAATTTATTTATTGCAAAGAGTATGGTTTAATGGTGGTTTTAAAAGAGAGTATTGTTCAGTAAAGATTTTAGAGTATTCTATATGGATTTTTAGAGTCGCTGTAAAGGAATTGGGGGGGGCCGGTTCCGCTCTTAGGAGAACGACGGGCGCAGGGGCGAGCGAGCCCTGGCAGCCCGGTGCCGGTGCCGCCAGGCGGTCAGGGCAGCGCCGCAGGGACTGGCCATGCCTTTGCCTTGGACGATTGGACCCGGGGACTCCAGTCCGGAGAGGCTCATGAACAAGCGCATGACTTCAAGCATAATGAGTAGTTTTAAGTACTTAAAGGTGGGATGAATGCTTTTTAAATGCTTTGCTGAATTGGAATTTAAGGGGCCCACACCAAAGCCAAGCGAAGTTAGTGTGAGTCTTTTAAATGGATATCGGATAGGAATATTAAGCAGGCAGGTGGGCACAAGTTGTACTTCAAACATAACAGTATTATCAGTAACCATGGAAGGGAGACATTTGCTTATTTATCTTTTCAATTTTTACTATGTTACGCTTGCCACTTTTTTGAGGCAATATTTTTTTTTTTGATGGGAAACCATAGCGAAAGCACAAATAGAACTATTTGTCCAATAGTTTTAAAAACAAAAGTTTTAATTATTTTTTAAGGTTTATGAAAAGCAGAAGAAAATTTATACTGCTGCTATTTAGCCAAAAGATTATTCATAAGGTATTTAAGGCCAGGAAGTGTAAAATTATGTTTTAAATGTATTGATAATTTGTACATATTGTTTATAAAGGCCTTGTGTTTATTAGAATTACGTTATTTTGATGATTTCTGTACATAGTCGTAAATACCCCCAATTTGTGTGAAAACATACTCCCTTATTTGTACTTATTTTGTAAAGAAATAAAACAATTTACTAAAGTAACACATCGAGCGACATACAGTATTAATTTATCAAACATGAATTTCACATTGTCTTGTAGTTCGTAAGCACTGTTCAGAAACATTTTGCATTAAAATATTAACAGAATACCCACAAAGAAATATTAAAACCAAATACTTCAATGTTTTGTTGTGCTGATTCTTATCCTTTGTCAAACATCTAATAAAATTGTCAACAAACCTCGATGCTATTAATACAGTGAATGAATGCACTCAGCAGTTGCTTTCTCAAAAGCGATTAGTCCAATAAGCACAACATAACATTCTCGCTTTCTTTCCGAGACTTGGGAGCACAGTGGTGTAACAGGGTTGTACAGAAAGTGCTAGTGAAGACTCACGTTCTTCAAGCCACAGTTTCAGTGCTCAGCAACAGAGAGTCAGAACAATTTTGTTCAATCGAATTAGGTGAAAAACCAGGCTACGTTTGCTTTTTGGCCTTCGTAAGAAAAACATTTGCTGGCTGCGCACCACAGCTTTACTGGAGTTTCTATGGTATTTTAAAACCTGTTTTAGCGATGCCGAGCAATGTTCTTAATTAAGTTACGTTGCTATGGTTTAAGGCCAGAAGTAAAAATTCAAATCAGTTTTTGCTGATATTGCTGCCTAAAAATATAGGGAAATAAGTAAAAAAGATATAAATGAAACTGTAATAAACTTTAAATAAGTGACCTGAAGTTACTAACTAAAAGAACATGTCCTAGCTTAGCTTTTTTTTTTTTTTTAAAGGCATACTTCTTCTAACAAAGTGATTGTTACCACCTGTCTTCCTTGCCTTAGTGCTATTTTGCAGTCAATGCTGTGATGTCATGGCTCAAACTTTCCATCTCAAGTTCACATTTAACTCGGCTGGCGCAGCCTGGAACCCTTTTACGATGCCACCTTAGCAAGCTGCCCTAAGTACTGGAGCTGCTTTATCGAGCTAATAAAAAAAATACGGTAAACAGCAAACTGAAGAAAGCCAACCCAACCAACCACAAATACTTCCAATGTTCTACACGGATCTAAAAGCCTCATCCCGCCTCCGAGCTTGCGCGCGCTGCCTGCCCGCGCCTTCCTCGGAGCTGGCCCTGCTCCGCTCCCGGCGGGTGCTCGGCGCCTGGTCCCGCTCGCAGACGGCCCCGCTGACCTCGGGGGAGGCTTGGCCTGAGTACCAGTGGCAGAACCGGGCCCCTGTGTTTAAATGTAAACGTCGAGGTGCTCGCCTTCCTCCCCCGGCTGAGAGGTAACGAAGGCAGAGGATGCGCCGACAGGCGAGCGCTCGGCCGCTGCTAGGGCTGACTCTCCCCGCTCGGGAGGGCGGGACGAAAGCGTATATTGGATAAAAACAAGAAGCGGAAGGGGTTATTTAAGGAGACTTTGAACTTAAAGTGAACTCAATGTATGAAAGTAATAAATAAAACACTTTTTTTTTTTTTTCTTTTTGTAAGACATGGCTACATCAAGCTGAATGGAGCAAAAGGCCAGAGGAGATGCAATCAAAAATTCTCACCTCTTTCAAACAACATGGGAGATACAGTGAGTGTTCCACCCTACTTGCTTATTTTTGATCATTTACTTTACAGAAATGTTTATGGCATGAAGTACTGTATAAGAAATGTGCATACACAAATACATGACAATTATACGTTAAGTTCTTTACAATATTAAATGTATAATATACAATTCTACAGATATCTTACATACAAAGGTGAATGTTGTGCCATATATTCAAATACGGCAACGCCTAGCAACTTTAGAATGTTGTACAAGTATAAAAACACAAAATAAAATAACTTTACAACTCTTTTAAAGTAGACAGATCTGCTCAACTGTTCTGCTAAGTTAGCAGGCCAACACGTATCGGCTAAGATTTCCAGAAGAGATTTCTGAGTTGGGTAACCAAGGTGAGAAAACCTGCAGAGGTCTGATTTTCCACAGACAGGTATCCAGCCCTTTTCCAAAAATTAGACCCCTGCCTAGATTGTACCTTGGGTAGTCAGTACAGCTCATCGCTTTTGAAAATACTAGTCTTAAACGTGATTTTTTTTTATTTGCCTGATTGTTTGGCATTAAAGAATTGTTGACCACTTAATACTCTGTCCCTTGTTCTATACGGCCGTATTTATGCATCTAAAAAGAGTTTAATTAAAATTCAGCATCTACAACAGTATTCTATAAATTAATGTGGGAGAAACTAAATTGTGATTAACACATGAATTAGTTTTTGAGGACCCAATCACGCTAAACAGCAATAAACAGGATTTAGCAGAATGCTATTTATAACCTTGCACCTGCAAACATGGTGCTGTCTCCTGAGTTAGGAAGCCCTGCAAGTCGGAGTCGATACCGATTCACGGAAGGAGCAGTAACCTCCTGCAGACAGCGGGCTTCGTTAAAGAGAAAATTACACAGATAGAGGGCAGCTACAGAATCGGTATTTTAATAATAGTTTAAAATAATAGAGGAAAAACAATCTAAACAAAAGGTGGCCTGCTTTCATCAGACAATGGCAGTAGAGGGTTTTAATATCTTTTTGCAAAAATTCCAGACCCATAAAGAGTAGGCTTGTCCAAAATTCTTAACGTTTCCTCCTAAATGTGGGCTTATAACATTGTTAGTAAACAAGTAACAAGGGGTGGCAGAGCTTGCTTGGCAGAACCACGCTTCTTTGATGATGCAAAACTTGACAGTTTCTGAGTCAAAACGAGACTGGCTTTAAGAGAACTACAGCTCCACGTTAGGTATGACCCTTGTGTGATGGTGGATGACATTTTATTTTGTGCTTCCAGATCCCTACTTCTGCAAATATTGCCGTAATCGGCCTTGTCAAATTTTTTGTTGCTTTTTTGTTTCATTTGTGTGGGTTTTTTTAGAACTGAGCACCAGTTGACTATAAGTCAGTCCTTTTCTGATTCTGGATTCTGTCCACAGAGAGATATTTCAGTTGGAAATGTTGTATAAAAATAAGCCATTTGCTAGCATGAGTGAGTACAATCACAGAAGTGTTAACGTAACGTATGGAGGTGTAAAGCACGTCTGATATGAAGGAGGTGCGGCAGTCAGGGAAGATACTCAGTGCAGTTTTAGTGTACCATCTTCCTCTCGGAGGCGCCCACTTCCACGCGTCACAGCATCGGGTATCGTTGGAAAGGCTGTCGGAACCGTTTCTCCTGCTGATCTATTCACATCGCTTTAACTGGTCTTTCTGCAGAAGTCCAATCTAGGGTCAGGGGTTTATGAAGCTTTGCCTTTTCCACCACCACAGCTGTTCAGCCCAAAGTACATTCCCAGCAGGCCTGGTACGCTGAGCATGCTCAGGAATTTCATCGTGAAAAACGGACAACTGGTTTTTCAAATGCATTTCATGGCTGGCTATGTGACAGGTAGTTTCAGAATACCACTAATTGGCAACATAAAGTCAAAATCTGTTTGCTAATACTGTTTTGCAAATCCTTAGTGTTTCACATAAGGGACTATTAAACACTTCTACGGTTACAAAGGAGTACGGGTAGGGTCTAGTCCAGGGGCTCCTGTTTTATTCTGATTGTTGGGGTAGGTTGTGGTCGTCTGTCTTCGCGACACAGCACGTATTCACTGAACTGAGAGGAATCCACCCCACCACCGCACGAAGCTGCCACGTTAAATCCCTTCTGAAATAACCTTTCGAGCACCTGCGATGTGGGGAAAAAAATCTGATTAATATTCAGCAAATTTTAGTGATAAAAGCATTCAGGAGCACTGGATCTAAATGATGGATTTAGCCTTTCGAGTCCTTGTTGAATGAGTATCATTCAGCTATAATTCTATAACTTATTCTTAAATTACTACACTGTGATTAAAGTCTCGCTCTCAGCAAACCTCTGTAGAAAACAAAAATTTATCAAACAAATAAGCACTCTGCAGAGCAGCTTTAGTACATTATATAGTAGAATGCTGGACTGTGGTGATATTGATGCTATCTCTTACTGCTTATAGAAAGCAACATCGGGTTTAAGCCATAATAAAAAGTGCCCATTATTCATTAGTAATATGAACAGTCTTACAGAAAGGGGCTGAAAACATTTCTCAGGTCTTCCTTGGCAGATGAAAATGTATTAGGAGTCTGAATGACACTTCCACCAGATCTTCACAGAAATCGCAGCTGTGATTTTCCCTCACTGGAAGGGAGTGCTGCTTTTAGCAAAGCATGGCAGAGACGGGATGCGGAGCCAAGATGCGGACAATAGGGAAATGTTCTGGCCCAAGAAAGAGGTTAATTTGTATTGCCCAAATATGTATTTTCTCTTTCTCCTTCTAAAGAAAAGTTGGTGCAATTTAGATGCATGAATATAAGGAGCCCAGAGGCAACTTTAATTTCTGAGACTGTCACACAGCACATTACCCTAGGATATACTGATCTTGGCAATACGATCGGGGCCGTGTTTTCACACGCGTGAGCATGTTGATATACAGTTTCCCAGCAGAGCAGGACGCACGCAGACTTTTCTCAGCGTTAGGTGAGCGTGGATGCCAGATCCACCGGAGGAGATGCTGTGCTGCCTCCCTCCCACTGGTGACTGTCCTGAGTCCAGGGCAGCAGCCTGCAGAAACGGTTCCTGTGGTTTTCTCTACTGAGAAATGCCATCAAGGGGAGCAGCCTGTACTGTTCTGTAACAGTCTCACCCAAGGTAGCGTATCCTTTGATACAGCCAGCACACGGGCCTACTGCGCTGGGAAGTGAACCTGATGATTTACTAAACCTGATGAACTTGGTAACACCAGCATCCCCATCTGACAGCCGTCTGCCGCCCACGACAGGGACTAAGCTATTTAAAAACTTGCTCACTCAACCTAGAGAAGTGTCTAAGCAATACACCCTGCAGATGGAGTCAACTCGTACGCTTTCACAGGTTTATGTTATAGAAAGAATTTTATTTCTTTTTTTTGGTTTTACTAGCCCTGCGAGCACTTCAGCAGTTACACCTACTGCAGTAGTACTTAAAAGTCTGACGTTTCAAGGCCTAAGCTGACTATGTTAAAGATCCGCGCACCAGACCGCTGCCCTCGCACACAGACCCATGTGAGGCCACCGTGCGTTTCTTAGTGCACCATTTCTTTTGCCTGGCTTTGCCTTCTCCAGAAACATCAGTTTGGAGCCTTTAGTAAGGGTAACTGATTTCAAAAGAATAACTGTATCCGAGGTGGTATCGTAGCACAATGCAAACCATGACAGCGGCATTTGCTGGTTTTAATCCGTGGGAACCCTCCTTTGAGGTCGCCTGTGTTACCCATCTGCTTTTCAATCCATGGTTTGGGGTTTCAGTGGTAACTAAAACCTTGTACTTGCTACCCTGGCTGCTAAGGACAGGCAGAGGAAAGGAGCTGCTCTAGCACAGCTTTGCCTAAGCCCTGCCGAATCTGCTGAAAATCAACTTGCCTGAGGTGCTCTGCCTGACCTTGGGAGATGGGGACCTACGGTCTCAGAAGGTCGCATCTGCCAAATCTCACTGACTTTTGTCCTGATTTGTATGTACTTTATACTGTAAGAAAGTTGTAGAACTGAAAGATCAAAAAAGCACTCCAGTGTATGGAAGAAAAATGAACCTGGAGAGATTAAAAGAAGGGGCAGGAGAGTGGGTTATC